ATGCATTGATAAAGCAACAAGTCCCTATTATAAGTTACCGATTTTCATCTTGAAAATTTAACACTTACTTCAGCCAGGAAAGGAGAAAAACGAACGGAAAAAAACAAAAACAAAAAAACAACAACAACAAAAAGAGAACGGACTCTTCACTCGGTTTATAGCATCTATTAACGATAACAGCACCCTTCCAAGGCTCATAATCCATTTTTCTCAATGGACAAAAATAGTCCAAACCGCTGTGAGTTGGAAAATGGATTCTGAATTTGCGATCGTCGAACTTCACAGGCGACTAAAATGAAACAAACCAACAGTTCCTAGTAGAAATCAACCTCCTGAACACTCGGCAACATTTTATAACTTTGCAGTAAAAACGAATCATCCCACAAAAATGAAAGAGTTCAGCATCAGATGCGAGAACAGCCTCAGAGTCTAAGCTCGAAGCCAAGAACCACTTCAGTTAGAATTCAACTGAAATTCAAGGTTCATACCTCGAGTTACGCTTTGATCTTAAATCATTTTTTAAAACATAATTTTTTGTGTGCCACAAAATTATCTCAACTAATCGCTAGCCACCAAGAGAATCCATCATCCAAAATAGAATCACGTTATTTAAGTACAAGAAAGTTTAAGAAACATAAACTCCACTTCAATACCATTAGATATCTTAAGTATAAGAAGATATTCCTCAGGCATTAGAAGACAGAACAAATTGAATATGGATGATTGCTATCAGAGATGATAAGCTCAATTCTTCTCATACCTCCAAAAGATCGATATTAATCGTATCGTTCGGTGACTGTGATATGCGTTCGCTTTTCGAACCCTTCGAGCTCTTCGTGATTCTTACAAAACACAACTTACCCTTCCCAACTTCGGCCCAATAGCGTTTTGGCCATGTGAGTGCCTTCGAGAATTTCAAATCCACAAAACCCTAGGAAAATATAACGATGATCCAGAATGTCTTTTCAGCACTCAACGACACTCAGAGTACATTCACATTCAGTCCAGTCATTACGTTCTATAAAATATCCGACTCTTCGAATAGCTCTGCCTTTTGCTTCATCCAAATCTCCCTGGGCTGATCCGAACGACCCTCGGATATTTTAAAGCAATGAATCAACGAACTTGCATGACCGATGGTTTCTTTGAGATGATCTTCTTAGATGCGTCGGTGACGATTGCACCGTTACTACTCTCATCACTGCCTGCATTCTTCATCGCTGATTCGCGTACGAATTTACGTCCTCGTGCCATTACTGAATATCGTCAAAAATAAACATTTAAATCAGATTCATCTCGTTGTACATTAGATGAACGCTGTGTCTCAATGAGAATGACTGCTGATCACATTCTCAATATTCATATCACGAAAATAAATTCACTTCATAAGTACCACAATCGCACGAGTATTTGAAATTAAACTCAGTTAACCACGAAATGCCACTCACAAACCATTCGAGCTAAAGGTGGGGCAAGTAAGTGAAAATCTTGAATTCTTCATCTCGCTATTAACCGTAACTATTTGCACAATAACGAATTGAATTTAACTAAACCTCGCTCTCAGTAAAACGCTACTCAATCTTAATATGATGATCAACAATGACTGACATTTCAACGAACAATTCAACTGAAATGCAATATTGAGAAAAAATTTGCAAAATCCACCAATTCCAACGAAAGTTCGTTTGTTAATTTTACAAAAAACATTTGCATGAAGTGATTGGATTTATGTTGAATTTATTCACTCACTTTGGTCTGTGATTAGTTCGCTCAATCGCACGGCATGCAGACTGTACGGCTGTGATGCATCGTTTTGCCGTACAATCAATCAGACTGACTATATATGGCCAACATTCAAGCGGTTGAATACCTTTCTGAAAACATCAACTGGTGAAAGCATCTGAGACTCATGAGCAGTGACAGTTTTCCAAGCTGCACGAGACAGAATTCGTGACGCGAAAACGAGAAAATAAACGAAATTCAAGAAGAGCTGATATGAGCGACACACAATGATAACTAGTCACGGCATTCGAACGAAAAAACTTCAGCTCGGTGGAAATCCCACCGAATTCACATCCTGATATTCCGGCATTTGGAATCCCAACTGAACTTCCCAATTGTTTAATCGGAATTCAAATGTCGCATATCCGACCAGCTCGGTCGGATGCCATCACCAATGATAACAATGGACATATGTGCTTATCAACGAGCACAGATCATTGCTGACTATGAACGATTAAATAAAGAGACGAATGATCTGCATCGACTCATCGGCTTTCGATAGAGTCTCCAAATGAAAAAGATATCGCTCAAACACGACTGAACTCCGTGCAATCCATAAGCTGATAGAGGTAAATTGCCGAAGTTAAAATTTTATTCACTCGCTTCACTCTCACAACGTCAGTCAAAGACATCTCGAGTGGTTAAACGTGAAAACAATTAACAACAATAAAAACAAAGTCGTGAACGTAATCAAATAACAACGCGATAACACAACAATAACATAATTCAAAACAACGAAAACAGTACCAAAATTTTCTTCATGTTTTAAGCAGTACGAATCATAAACATTAACAAGTCACCTAAATTTCCTTCCTATAATCACATCATTAAACTTTCTCAGATACGGCAAAGTGAAGTTCTCCATCTAAACGAGTCATATCAATTATAAATGTATGTGCGGATTACTCGAATTTCGACAGAATATTTCCAGATAATTCTTCTAACTGATCCAACTCAATCTAATAATGCAATCAACAACTACCTACTATCATCGACCATCCAGTCATCAACACTTAACTTTCGTTGCATTGTTTCTCGAAGGAATACGAACAAATCCTCAGATGCTTTTCGAGCCATAATCATCGCAGTTTCAAATACGCTATATTCATAAACACCGTCCGTACAGCAACCAATCAAAATTATTTTTCGCTCTTCCTGCAATTTTCGACTTATAACTTCATAAAGGCAAAGTTTCTCTCAAGATGCCAACTTAAGGAAACGCAAAACAAAGTTAACGGAACGAATTCGGGACATGAAACCGAACCACTTATGAGGTCAAACTGAAAGTGAAATTTCAAATTAAAAATGAAATTTCATATCAAGCGGAAAAAAATATTTGCAATTAGAAAAAAATCGATGAATAACAAAGAAACTGGTTATGAACAGCAACAGTAATTGGATAACTGTTTATC